GTTGGGTAATGAAACGTCTGCAACAAAACCACCAAGCTCAGAGAGCACCAAGGACCCCATGGTGATCTTCCTCCTCCTCTTCATCTTCCTCCTCCTCCTCCTCCCCCTCCCACACCCCCTCCCTTCTAGCACTGATGAGGTAACCTAGTTGGGTAATGAAACGTCTGCAAGAAAACCACCAAGCTCAGAGAGCACCAAGGACCCCATGGTGATCCTCCTCCTCCTTCTCCCACACCCCCTCCCTTCTAGCACTGATGAGGTAACCTAGTTGGGTAATGAAACGTCTGCAACAAAACCACCAAGCTCAGAGAGCACCAAGGACCCCACAGCTGAACCCTGAGCTACCAGTTATTCCCTTCAGCGGACGGTACCTGTGTATCCCTGAACATTCAATGCATAGTAAGATGCCCAAGTTGATGCTCGCCCACCGGGGATCGGCTTGCCCGCAGTCACAACACTGGTCGTTGCCCGAGATACTCTGCACCCTCTGCAGGATAGTTTCCCCTTTCCCACTTCGGTCCCGGGAATCGGAGGCGGAGTCTATACTGCTGGTTGAAGGGGAAGCTGTTCGGTCCAATTTCTGGAGTTAAGAGAAAAGGCAACGATTGAAACACCGAGCGACCATATCAAGCGTCCCTTTTGCTTTTTTTGATTTCTCTTAATATAGCCAAATATATTTTGGTAACATTTTCAAGGATAATCTTGGAAGCTGATCGGATACAAACGCCTCCCGTCGTTCTGACAGAAAAAGGATGTCTCGTATCTGTTTTCTAATTTCCGTGAAGATCTTATGAGTATGTCTTATGACGAATCCTGCACCTGTGCGAATCCTGCACCTGTCCTACAGCCTTTTCTGGTTGCCGGTTCTACTCACTTCAATGAAGCAGCTATCGGGGCTCTCTCGATAGGCGGAGGCTATGCTGGCTTGGACCGCCTGGATCCACGCTTGGCGCAGCTTCTCTGAATCGGCTTGTAACATGCAGCTCCTGCAGCGGGAAAACAGAATCCCTTTTGACACCGGAAGATATTAATTTCCCCTTTATTTATCGATTACTTCCGCTTGGCACAGCAGCAGCAAATTTGGAGGCGAACGCGGTCACTTTAGTTAACCCAGCAGTTCTTGATGATGGTTAATGCCCACGTCCGTTAATGCCCCTCCAAAACTGGGATTTGGAGCAGTGCGTGAAGTTATCCTATTATGGCTCGGTCAACAAGTCGTGGTTGAACAAACCGTGACTTGTTGTAACAACCAAAGCCAGATAGAATAAGGGAGAAGCCACTGGATTCTAAAGGCATCCTTCTAACAAATTGACAGTCGTGTGGGTCCTTATGTAATGATGGAATCAACATAGGTAGAGGAACCTCAGGGCTTTTTTAAAGTCAGAGACACGGTTTCTTGTTTAGATGTTGTGAAACAGAAAAAGCAGATGTATGGACGGACGGACGGACGAACAGACGGATGGACAAGCAGAAATTCTTCTTCTCTCCCGTAGCCCCAGATGTCTGACTTGGCTACTTGACCTTTCATCTAACCTAGAGCTGGCCCAAGTAATTCATTCTCCCCCAAAAATTCTGACCACATGTCTCACAAAACTGTGATGTTTAATCTCCATCTCCCCTTCCCTTCTCCTTCCTTCGCCTCTTTTCAAGATTGCGGTTGACGTGATGACCCAAATGAGACATGGATTTTTTTTCCCCCTCTCTTCTCAGGAACACGTTACTTACTTGGTGGGAGAGACCACTTCAAAACAAAACCTCCGTTCTATGTCCTCGCAAGGCTTGACTGTGCAAAGCCGGAGGTCTTCCACAACCACCGTGAGTACATCCTGGAAAGGGAAGAACAACACATCCGTGTAAGACTCCCTGCAACCGGATTTCCTATTGCTAAAGACAGTAGTAGTAGACACTGAAATCGTGTCCATTTTTGTGATGGCTTCTGTTTGAGTCAAAACGTGGGATGCACGCATCTCTTCCCCTCCTAGATACAATAGAGTTTTTAAGTCTTGTGCACCAACCAGCTCAGTTAACCAGGTCACTGAAAGTAAGGGACTAACCTTTAGCTTCTTCTGGTAGACCAGCTGGCTATTTTGTATGGAGAACCATCTCCTGCAAAGAGAAATGAGTAGCGAGGAGGAGGAGGAGGAGGAGGAGGAGGAGGAGGAAGAGAAATGAACGAAGAACAAAAACAGCTTGAAAGAGGACGGTGACCATCCTCCTGCCTTTCAGACTAAATGTAGACTTGGAATAGATTCTGAAAACGACAACTAAAAAGCTTTCAGAGGCAGCTGCAGTCGAGTATTGGCTTTGACAAACAGTTGTCACATCAATTTCACACGGCCTTCCACAACCTAGTGTCCTGATGTCATGGTAGGTGGAGGACAGGAGGAAGAACCACAGACTAGACAATAATCAGATGAGCCAGCCGAAAGAACGGGGTATGGTAAATATCTCAGAAGGGACCTAGTTTCTTCAACCGTAAAGGTGACGGGGGAAGAAATATACTTTCAGACTTGCAAAGTTCTGTTAATATACCCTCACAATAACGTCAGAGCTAGTACTTCTGGGTTTGCTTCCTATGTGGACTATCTCATAAGGTTGACACCTGTACAAGTGATGAGGTGGCAATTTCTAGCAACTCCACAGCGACCATCTGAGGGGAACTAGGGTGGAGAAGAGTGAAGAGTATGGATGGGCAGGGAAAGGAAATGGGCTAGTTCATAACAAAGGGGGCTGATTTGAACTTGGTTCTTCCCGTCCCTGGTTCTAAACATCCCCAACCGCCCCCAATGCACCCGTTTCACGGCCTCTTCACAATGGCTCACCGATTCCAGGTCTTGAAGGCATTGCTTGCTCTCTTGAAGAGGTATCCTTCCATCACTACTCCGTTGGGAGCATCAACGTTGAATTCCACCTTGGATTCATCGTAAGAGAAATCCTGAAGGCCCAAAGAACAAGGAGGAGGGGAAAAGACAGGAGCCAAGGTTGGGATTGACTGATAACAACAAAGCGATCCTAAATGTCTTTATGCTACGAAGGTCGTCTTGATTTGAGCAAGTAAGTAGGATCGTAGCCGTAATCTGGAGGAACGTTCACCCAGCCCATGAAGGAAGCAGGCTGCAATCCTTTGGCCGTGTTCATCCATTATGCTAAGCCATCACTGGATTTGTTTGGTTTTGGATTAGTGAGGAAACTGGAACCCCAACCACAACTGCTGAGAACCAAGGGCCAGATGGGGAAAAAAAATGCAAAAATGGTAGCCATGGTCCTACAATAAGTCTAACACAATTGAACGATGGTGGAGGGGAAAAAAAAAATCCCAGGAAAATCCCAGCCTCAACTCATTTTGCAAAAAGTCTTCAGCATGACTCTCTATCACAATGCCTTTTTTACAAAACGGCTCGGATGCCCCTTCCCTTAAAAAAAAACACGTTGATCTAATTACATGTGGGTTTGTTTCAATAAATCCTAGCGAGGCCACGAGCCGTCCAGATGTGCAAATTGGAAAGCCAGCGGAGGGCTTCTCGGTTCCTTCTAAGCCACATTGTGGCTTGTCTGGCTTGGTTTATTTTTATTTGACATGCAAGATGTCTGTCCTACTTCCCCCCCCCCTCAAAACAGTGCCTGAAAAAGCAAACCATCTATAAATAAACCGAGAACAAGCAAATATATATGCATGTTTAGGGTCGATGTGTTGAGTGAATCCAGCCACCCCAGATTTGAAAACCACAATGTATGGCCTTGCCTGGTGTGGGTAGCCAACCAAATGTGATTTATTTGAGACACAATAATGGCAACATGGAAACCCTGCTCAGTTGTATGCTGTTCAAAACACAGATCTCTTTCTTGGGTGTACGATTCCGCCCCCCTCTCGTTCTGGGAACCCCAGTCTGGCATGTTTGCAAGCCTGCATCTCAAAGCCTTAGTCCTCCAAATTAAATCTTCCTTTATCAGGAAGTCCTCAACTTACAGCCACCACTTTCTGCGGCTAAGCGAGACAGTTGTTAAGTTAAGCTTTGTTCCATTTTACAACCTCTCTTCCCACAGTTCAGTTAGTCACACGGCTGTTAAGTGAATCTGGCTTCCCCGTCGGGGGGCCGCAAAAGGGGATCCCCAGTGCGACCGTCGTAACTGTGAAACCAGGCGCCGAGCACCTGAATTTTGATCACGTGACGACGGGAGACGCTGCAATGGTTGCAAACGTGTAAAACATCTCGAAGGAAGAGAAGGAGCCCTGCAACAGAAAGGAGGCAAGAACGGATGCAACCAGGAGTGAAGTCCTCGACGTACGACAGTTCATTTAGTGACCCTTTTGAAGTGTTACAGTGGCATAAGTCGCTTTTTTCAGTGCCACTGTAACACTTCAAAGGGTCCCTAGATGAACTGCCGTACGTCGAGGACTTCACTCCTGGTTGCATCCGTTCTTGCCTCCTTTCTGTTGCAGGGCTCCTTCTCTTCCTTCGAGATGTTTGTTTGTTTATTTATTGAATTTATTTGCCGCCCGTTTCATAACGAAAAGAGAATAAAAACGCAGGCCAAAGCGATAGAAAGTTGCAAGGCAAGGCAAGAACCATTAGCTTGGAAGCTTTTTGCTCATTGGGAGCAGCACGGCCTCCGGCATGCACAGTTGCTAGGCAACAAACCATCCTCTCTTCTTAGGATGAGTGCATCGCACCACACGCACGCACGCACACCCCCGCAAACCATAAAGCTGGCTCGCTCCGGCTCATGTCACATGAAAGAGAATAAAAGCAATATGACCGGTGCCCCCTATAATGCTGGCGAGGGACGCTGGGGGCCTCCTGGCATTTGGACCAAGCTCTGACTTCTCTGGAATCGGTCTCCCTGTGCGCATGGAAAATGACTGCTTTTGCGCCCTGGCTGCAGCCATTTAGAAGACAAAACCAAACCAAACCCAGAACATTGAAAACTGAGTTTTCCTTTCTCAGCAGTCGATCCAAGTTTAAGCGTTTGTGATTTGAATGTTCGGCAAACAAAGAAACAAACAGATAAATAAATAAGTAAGCTCAGCCTTTTGAGTTCATTTTCCAAAGCGCCAAAAGGCAGGACGAGAAACAACGGATGGAAACTAACCAAGGAGAGAAGCAATCTAGAACTAAGGAGAAATTTCCTGACGGTGAGGCCGATCAACCAGTGGAATAGCTTGCCTTCAGAAGTGGTGGAGGTGGTGTTCCATCACGGAAGGCTGTTAAAAAGAGACTGGGGTAGCCATTTGTCTGAAATGGGACTGTGGGATCTCCTGTTCAAGCAAGGAGATCGGGACTAGATGACCTGCCAGGTCTTTTCCAGCTCTGTTCTATTCTAAGGATTGTTAACTTGAATGATCACAGCTTGTCAATGACACTTATATTCCTCTTCGCAGTATCTCCAATATTTGGAATTTATCAAGGTATCAACAAATACAGGTTCGGTGGGAGAAGACGACTTATATGTAAAATTAATATTTGAAGGACAAATCTGTATTTCATTTGCAACAGCGTACTGCTAAAAATAGTCTTGGTCCAATTCTTCCTTCCTTCCTTCCTTCCTTCCTTCCTTCCTTCCTTCCTTCCTTCCTTCCTTCCTTCCTTCCTTCCTTCCTTCCTTCCTTCCTTCCTTCCTTCCTTCCTTCCTTCCTTCCTCCCTCTTCCCCTTTGAAATCTTACATTATATAAGGGCCTATTTATAATTCCCGGTTTAATATTTTATGTGAGTGTTTTCATACACTAGAAACGTAATTGCTCGCTCCTTTATGCCATTCTTCTTTTTCCCCCTCTGGCTTCAATAAAGGCACCAAGAAAAATAAGGAAAGAAATGCTGCAGACACTGAGATATGCCCCACGTCGTTCGGCCTGGATGACGCTGATGTAGAGTGACAGCCAGCGAGGCCCCCCGCTCCCAGATTTTGCACAGCCCTGCGAGAGCCTCACAAACAGTGACAGCCTGAGCCCATCGGTGGCTGCTGCCATGCACACAACTTACAGGTAGAGCGATGCAGCGTAACCGAGCTTTTTCTGAAAATGTATCCGCTTACTTAAAAAGCCACCGAGAGCCGTCGGCTGCTTTTGTGAATTTTAGACCACGGACAAAATCCCTTTTCTATCTCTAATTTGAACCAAATTGCAAATCAAACCCAGTTTGATTCGGAGGTTAAAAACACACCGGCCCATCCTTACAAAGTGTCCACATTGGTTTAAAGGGCTCTGTTTGATTCAACCTTGTGGTTGTTGTTTTTTTTAATCACTGGAACTGACACATAGGCTACTTCCTTCGTTTCCTCCTCTTGACTGGCAAAAATATACATCAAAGCAATTTTCTAGAGCACCAGAGGGGGCTTCCAATCCTGCCCCCCCCCATCCCACAAATGCAACAGACAAGTAATAAATTAATATCAGCAGCACCACTGAATAGGATGGAGAAAACAGCCACAAGGTCTGGGCAGAAAATCTCTGCCTAAACTTGATCCATTGGCGACCAAGAGACCCAAGAAGGGCTGAAGTTGTAGCTTGTGGCTTACCCCTCCTTGTAAGAAAAATCTGTGTTTTTCCCACACACCCACAAACTGTTTTATTACTCAGGCAAGCAAGGAATGTAAAACTATTTTGGGGAGCTGAAAAGAAAAAAAACCAAGCTTGATCTGTCAGGAAGACAGGGACTGTCCACTGCAAAAAATGGAAAGGCAAGATCAACCACGATAGGTGCCATAAAACTGCACCCTCGAGAATTGTGTTAAGAGCTCCTTTTGTGAGTCCTTTTTTCCTACTATGTCATTAAATCACAGGCACTAAGCATCCCATTCCCCGTTTCCAGTGCCTTTCCTGTTTGATTTGAATTTATATAACAGTCTTGCATAGAGAAGGGTTTCCCCCCCCCAACAATATTGGACAATTGTTTCTATGGAAACATCAGATGCCACCACAAAGAGACAGCAAATTCTAAGAGGGATCAGAGGATGGAGATGATGCAAAATTTAAGGAGGAAAGTCAGGAAACTGTTTTCCCCTCAAGCAATAGCATGGAAACACATGATTTTTTTCCCCCCTCTGGTTCCTCCTTCCACCCTGCCAGAGTTTCAGCCCTTTATTCCAATTTCACTCTCAAGGACAGGATCTCTATTGGTCAAAGATAAAGGAGAGAATAAAACCAAACAAAAGCATAGATTTCTGGCAATGGAGAAATATTGTCTGATTCATTAAGTTTTCTGTGTTAGGATTGCAAAGAAGGGATTTGGAGATAGCACAGGACCCAGTTTTTCCTTCCCCACCAGCCCTATCCTGGGAAAAGAGGCATTAGCACTTCATTTTTATTCTTGAAATAAAGTCACCTCTGGCCCCCTTGATGCGATCAAGACCACATAAGCCAAACGTCTAAGGAGATTCTCAATCGTACAGATCACGGTTGTCCCAAAGTTGCTTTTTTTTTTTTTTTTTTGCAAAAGGCAATTGGCCTTTCTGCTTTTTCTGTGTGTGTGTGTTTTTTTTCCCCTTGCAAAATTCCCCACCAGAATTTCTCAAATGAGAAGCGAAACATTTCCAAAGAAAAAAAACAAACAACAACAAGAAAGTCCAGTTGTTTTTTGGAAAAAAAAAAGCACCTTTGGGACAATATGAGCCAAAGCTCCCCCTCACTCACTCCCCCCTCCCAATCGTAGCTGTTCAGCCAGGCTATCTTAGAGGCAGCAACAAGGACATAACACACCATCCTTTTGTTTCTCCTCCTGCCGGGATCGGGAGGCAGACCAGCTACCATCCAACGTGGGGAACTGGAGAGGCCCAGGGCCCCGGCGAGCAAAGCTGGCATTCAGAAGAAACCTTGGTTTGGTGGGACTAGGTCTCCGTCCCGCGTGCCAGCTCAGCCCAAGCGTTAGGGCATCAAAGGTTGAGAAAGATGCTCTCGCTCCCTCGACCAGAGGGACCTCAGCAAGGGCCCACATCTGCTTTCTGACGTACTCAAGGTGTGCTTTCCAAGCCCCCGTGCCATCAATTTATAAAGGGAGGGGGGGGACCCAACCAACCCCATCGCATTAATGCCCCTTCTATCCCAAATCAAGTCCTACGGTCTGCTGTTTTTGCACCTCCAGCTGGAGGGGAGCCGGTCCTTTCCCAGCCTCCTCCAAACTCCAAGAGATGCTGTTTCCCCTCCCTCCCCCCCCATTCTGATGGGGAAAGCCCCCTCCCCACACACTCTCTTCCCTTACCAGAAAGTACTCCAGTCTTCCAAAAATCTTCATGATGCCCCTGTTGCGCTGCGTGGCGGAGCTCTTCCAAGCGTACCAGCAGTCACGCGCCAAACGGGTAATTCTACATGGGTGTCTTCTCCTGTCCACCCACCCTCGACACACACGCTGCCTGCTGGAAATCTCTCCTACGTTGTTTTTATTATTCCCCCCCTCCTCCTCCTCCTGGCTCGAAGACTGGCCCGCTGGGTCCTGTCAGCGCAAGAGACGTGGGAGAGTGAGCCCAAGTGCAGAGCTGGCTTGAGGACCACCTGCCCGTCTCCCCCCCCCCCTTGGTCCTCTCCCCCCCCTCCCCCCAGGGCCCACGGCTTCCCTTTCAGCATCAATCAGCTTAGTGCATGAGCTCATTTCCATACAGCTGTCGCCTCTGGATGGAAGTGGGGAGAGCAGCAAAGGCAGAGAGAGAGGGCAGGCAGTGCCTAAACCGTTAAAAATAATAATAATAAGCGTG